AATTCTTTGCAGGTATTTTAGAGCCAAGACTTTGATCCATACGGAGCACCCTGTATATAGCAAACTTTCTGCTGAGTCGATCGGAGCACCTTGTACATAACGAGCTACCGGCCCCACCAATTGGAGCTTTGTATATTGCAAACCATCCGCTCAATCAATCGGATCACCTTGGCTTTGCTAATCGGAGTCCTATATATAGCAAGTTGTTCACTCTACCAACTGGAGCACCTCGCACATATCGCACCATCGCTCCGCCATATCAAAGATTCCAAATAGATAAATGCGAATTTCCTCACTAACTTCGCCAATCGAAGAATGGACCATCCAATATTTCCATACATTCCGCCGATCGACAGCCGCAATACAGTTTCGTAGTCAAGAGTACCTATTTGGCATGCTCCTTTATTTCCTTGTTTTATCTTGAATGTTTTGACGTTTTATTTATGCAGCTTACAGGCTCTTACATTTCAAACCAACTATTCCCATCGTGTGGAGATACTCCCATCGTGCAAAGGTATTTTACATTTTAAGTCAACTACTCCCATCGTGTGGAGATACTCCCATCGTGAGGAGGCTTAATGCTCTGACAGCTGCGGAATGGTACATAGCCCGACTAACAATGAAGTCAAATACAAAGGCCCATCCCTGGAAGCGACTACCAAGCCGGTCATTTATGTATTATATCCCTGTTGCCCTATTTATTTCTTATTCTATATTTATTTGTGGTAATGTGACTTTCTGGGGTGGTTGGTATGGTTTCGGGGATGTTTCAGAGTTAATTGAGACACTTAGTCTTAAGGTTGAAAGCTTAAGTTGGAAGAATTGACCGAAGTTTGTCTTTTGTGTAAACGACTCCAGAATAGAGTTTTGATGGATCTGATAGCTTCGTATGGTGATTTAGGACATAGGCATATGTTAGGATTTGGATTTGGAGGTCCGTAGGTTGATTCGGTGCATTTTGGCAAAAATTAGAAAGTTGAAGGTTCGGAAGATTGAGAGGTTTGACCGAGAGCTGACTTTGTTGATATCGGGCTGGGATTTTGGTTTTGCAAGTTGGAATAGGTCTATTGTGTCATTTATGACTTGTGTACAAAATTTGAGGTCAATCGAAATTGGTTTGGTATGATTCGGCATTAGTTTTAGAAGTTGGAAGTTTATTTGTGTATTAGGCTTGAATCGGGGTGTGATTCATGATTTTGTAATTGTTTGATGTGATTTGAGACTTCGACTAAGTTTGTGTTGTGTTTTAGGACTTGTTGGTATTATTTTGGTTGAGGTCCTGGGGGCCTCGGGTGTGTTACGGACGAATTTCGGACCAATCTTTTCATGTTTGGATAGCTGATCTGGTGTCTGGTGTATGCTTCTTCACATTCGAGAGGAAGGGAACACGTTCGTGAAGCTTTGGAGGTCACTGACCTTCACGAATGTGAGTGGGTGGTCTTGTTTGCGTAGATGGGAGGTCGGCTAAGGGGCACTAGTGCTTAAGCCTTCGCGTAGGCGTGGTCTAGTTGGTCATCGCGTTCGCGATTGGGCCGTTGCGTTCGCGATGGGGAATTTTGGCTGAAGGCAAAGTTGTGCTTCGCGAACGCGAGGTTTCTTCCACGTTTGCAAAGGTTAAGCACCTGGGCAGAATATTAAAAAGCCATTTCGAGGGTTAGAGTTATCGTACCATATTTTGAGTTGTAAAGTTTGGTTTTGGGCAACTATAGAGGGGATTTTCACGTCTTGGATCGGGGTAAGTGTTTTTGACTCGGATTTGTTCATTATTCATGATTCCATCTTAGTTTATATCATTTATTTGGTGGATTAAAGTGAATAAAAGGGGGATTTTTGTAAAAACTTCCTAAAATTAAAAATGATGATTTTAGTATGGTTGGACTCGTAATTGAATGAGTGTTCGGAATTAGTGAATATTTTTGCATTCCGAGGTGCGGGCTCAAGGTTGACTTTTTGATTTGAGTTAAAGATCTTAGCTTTGTTTTTTGGAATCACTTCTTATGACTTTTATTGATGGTATTGCATTATTTTCGCTAGATTCGAACCGTACGGAGATTGTTACATGCGGGAAGTGTATATTAGAGGAGTAATTTGTCTTGCTTGAGGTAAGTATCTTGGTTGATCTAAATAATTTGTGATAGCTACATGTTATGGGTGCACACATGTGTGGGGTTTGAGCCCATGTTCCAACACCGGGTTATTTAATCATGCTCGAGTAGTGCTTAGGATGTGATATGCCTAGAGTTGACTGTTAAGCTTTAAGCTATGTTGTTTCTCATATATGTAACATTGTTGTGAACTATTTGAGCCATGTTTGAGGATACATAGGGGCATATTCCCATAACGAACTTGATAATTGTTATTTCTGTGATGAAATTGTCGGTTTGAGCTATGATAGCACACTATGCACATGTCTACACTCTAGCATGTCACTCATACCTACCCAGGAATATGAGATCTGTTATTCATTCATCATATACATGTATTCTTGTATATTTGCTTTTGTGTGATATGATTTGGACTAGGTTCCTATGACCACGTCGGGCGGATTGTATTATGCATGTCACCACGCCAGGCGGATTATGTTGTTATACATGTGGCCAGGCCGGGCGGATTGTACTATTATTGTTTTGACCACGCCGGGCGGATTATGATATTGAGCCTGTGACCACGCCGAGCTGGTAGCACATTGAATTGGATGTGCTTGCGTCTGGATATGGATCCATCCCCCTAGGGTCACCCTGTGTACATGCGGATATTGAGGAAACTTGATCAGTGGTTTGGTACGGATATAGAAAGGTTGATGAAGTCTGGCTAGTGTTTAGTTTGGATCTTGCATTTCATCTTTACTTGAAATTTTTGTGGTTAATTACCTGATTTATTTGCATATCATCTCTATATACTAAAAATTGATTGAGTAGAGTATTTGGGTAACTGTACACATACATTCACAGATGCTTCTTTTTGTGCTTTATGACTTGACTTCATTATTGTTCTACACTTATTAAAATGATGAAATTGTATAGGTTATAGCTAGTATCGTTTATAGTTCTCGCTTCTTTTACCTCACCGAGGTTAGTTACTATACTTATTGGGTACATTGGGTCGGTTGTACTCATACTACACTATGCACTTAATTGTGCATATCCCGGTTTGGTGACCAGTTATCAGTAGTAGACTTGCTTGTTAGACTGAGCTTCGAGAGGCGAGGTAGAGCTGCATTCTTGGCTGTAGTTTTGACTTGTTTTTTCTTATGTACTGTTGTTTTAGTTCAGACAATACTGCTATTTAGTTTTCAGTCTTGTACTTCGATTTAGAGATCATGACTTTGTATTTACCAGTTTCTAGGGGATTTATCTTATATTAGCAGTATCTTTGCATATTGAGATTTCAGACTTATGCTATTTCTAAGAATTTTGCCGGTTTGGTTCTTTATTGTTATATTTCGACTTGCTTAGCTGGTGTTTTAGGCGCCATCACGACAGGTTGGGATTTTGGGTCGTAACACTGGCATCCCAAATAATGCTCCAGGGCTCGGAGACTTCAGATTCAAATATCTCGTTGCCTCGACCCCAAATAACGGCTAGCCAATAGCTAGGCATCATTATTCGTGCATTATTTACATCACATCTTAATGTATCTGCATTACGATATATGGGTATATGTGTATTTTCTTTTGCGGGATCAAACATCGCGACGTGGAATTTCTTTTAAGCATCAAACCAAGCTACAATACTATGAGGGATAACAAACTCATAAGCAGGCCAAAGATCCAAACTCCAGCACAAATCGATCAGTAGAACTTCAAATCATCAAATCTTTCAAGTTTCATAATCAAGCTGCAATCCATAAAGTCATTCGAGGTTCCAAGATCTTCTCGTCTTGCAATATCGTCATAACACGATATCGGGGCAACTCCTACAAGAACCACCCTCTCCAAATCATCATTCCAGAACTACATGAGGCCTGATCCTCGTTACACTCGAGGTATGTAGGCGATTCAAAGCCAGAATTCGGCCATAATTTCCCCTAATTTTTCAATAATCTTTCCTTAATCTTAGAACTTATAATCCTTCCTAAATCCATATTCCATTCATGCAATACATGCCTAAAGTCGGGACAAAATTGGTCCTGGGTCAATTTCGTTGCCCGAAAACTCATTCATCGTCTCTGGTCAAAGAGGGGCGGATGTTGACGACCAATTATGACCCTCCCTTTTGAAATTAATTTATTTATACTTAATGATTTACAGTAAATGTGTTGAAAATATTTTCTAATCAATAATACCTATTTTATACATAATTAGTAATTAATAGTGTTGAAACTAATAATTTTGTATTACATATATTACCTTCCTATTTTTGAAATTACTAAAATAACTTCTATATTTTTTATACCCAAGTTTTATGAATAATTCAACAAACTAATTCTTGATTTTTAATTAATTCACGTATTATTCAATTTAATCAAAAATTAACTCCACAATTTGAATAAATAAAGTATTTTAATAAATAATTAATTAATTACAGTAATTTATGGAGTATTTGATGATTATATTTTTGTTACAGTTAATTACGATTAACTAAGCTTAATTAAATTAACTTTAAAGGGGTTAAAGCTTAAAAGGTTATAATTGCAAAAGAATCAATTAAACATAATGTGGCTAGTTATTAAACCAATTTCAGCCCAAACACTAGCCCAATCCCCACATGACCTAGTCCGGAATCCCCTCTACGTTCCACCTTGGCGATCCGCCCAAACCTCTGAAGGCCAATAGAATTGCGCCGCGTCACTCTTCAATCCCACTAACATAAGAAGCACAAACGCATCTAGACCATTTATCCAATTGATCAACGGTCCACAATTAATCTCTATTTTTCTTTTATTTTTAACTCTTACTAGATTTCATCACAACCATTGGATTATAAGAATACAACGGCCCCCGTTTTTCACATATTAAAATTTTACCAACCTTAATTTACCAAAAAAATCAGAGCCGTTGATCAAACGATCCAACGGCTAACATTCCATCTCCCACTTTAATCCCACCTAAAACCTAAACCCTAATTCATTTACCTAAAATCGGCCACCCCTAATTTCTCCTTTGCCTCTCTTTTTTCTCAAACCTATCAAACCCTATCGGTCTGAATCCTTGCACAAATTTGTGCAAGGTCACTTGAATCAACCACGAAATCATCCATCTTGTCCCTATAATCCGCCAATCCAGCTGGTTATGTCCATTTCCACCAATAAATTCATAAATCCCAAATCTGAAAACCCTAGACCTAAAGTGAAATCTCAAATCGTCTGCATCTCCGTTATGATCTATCAAATCCATGACATGCATGGTTATTTCTTCCACATCATCATCATTATTCTTTGTCTAGAGGTCAAACGTAGTGACCTATGGACTGGTATTTTGTCAGATGATTTCTAATCTTCAACGGCCATCCTACATGCCCAGGTAAATGTTTTGTACTTTTCCCTCTGTTCTTCACTGCTTTTACTCCCTCTCTATCATCACCAACCCCATCATCATCTTCCACTCAAAATTAAAATTGCTGAAAACCCTAGGCATTGAATACCACTATAAATTGGAGCTTTAATGGCTCACCTAATAAAATTACCAACATAACATCCATGTTTTCATCATCAACTTCTCACTGGTTTTCTTTTCCTTCTCCGATTCTAAGTTTTGTTGCTGTCTGAGCTCAAGTTTGGATTTTTAAATGACTAAACAAATGGTTTTCGTTTGCTTTGCTACTCCGTAGAAGGTCAGTGTACACTGACCCTCCCTTTCTTTGATTATTCGTATTGTTTGTGCTTACCATCCATGTTTCTGTTGATTACTCTCATCTATGATATGTGTTATTATGTTTGCAATTGATTATCATGTATTGAACTTATGTGTAACTCTCAGTGTTGGAACTAATGGATTCCTGATAATTTGCGACTATTCAATGTTAGCTGGTTATTCTGTATTAATGTATGAACTTCATCAAATAAATATTTTTCCTAAAATGAATAACTTAAGTCCTCTTGTACTTTCTGCAGTATCTAAGAGACTGTGATAATTTTATGTGTATTTTATAAACTGAACTATTACATTAGTTAGTCTAACTCAAGCTGTGCTTTTCCTTGATGTCTTGTTAAAAGTTATATCTGCCACATATGTGTTATACTGTTTCTTGGGCTAGCAATGCTATATAATTAGATAACATACATCCAAAACTGATCTCCATCATGTTATTCATGTTATACACACTTAACTTGTCTGCTTGGGCTCATTTATCTACCACTGAAACCATGTTTATTCTATATATTTATACCCACATGTTCTTGTGATTCAAACCTCTGTAATGAACTCACTAGACTGGTTTTTAAGTCATCTTCTCATCTGATATACTCTGTAATCTTGTGGTCTTTTACAAACATCATTGTGTACATGTTTGAGTATCTTCTGTTAGATTCTACACTTATGTGTTTTGTTCATGGACTTCATGTTTGCCTTTTCATTTAAGAGATATTCATGCTTGAGCTATTATACTCTTCACTTGAAACTATACTATCATATGAACCTAAGGGAAATTTATTAATCCATGTTTGTCCAGTCTAAAGGGTTGTGGTCCTATACGTGGTTGATATTTTTGGTTGTAAAGGTTTAACTGTGTGTTTGAACATTTTCTAGGAACATGATTAACTAGAAACCATATTGTGAAGTCTAAGTCAGATTAAATTTGACTCTGTGGGAGCACTTCTGTTGTTTAATTTCATCTCTCAGGAATCTGATTAAGGTTGATTATTCTACATGTGTGAAGGAATTTTGGATTGTTCTGAGTACAGTCTAAATAATTGTTAGTGCATTATGAACTTAATTAAGGACCTACCACCATAATCAGTAAATTTAGCATGCATATCTCTCTCACCCCCTCCCCAAGGATCACTTCACCCAGAATTTTATTTAAACTTGTAATAGTCTACTGTTGTTTGCTCCGAAGCTCTCCCTATTCTGCAACTATGATCAGTCTCCTTGAATGTTCTAATACATATTATAAATGAATGACAAAATGTCCTTGGACATTGTTAGTACCTGTAAAACTTAACCTTTACCTTCTGGGCTCTAATTCTAATGCTAATGGTGTAATTCAAAAGGTGTTCATGTTTCTGTATTTTGATGATATCTTTGTGTCTTTTGGACTTCCTGTGTACTTGAACGTTTGTGCCTATTCCTACTTTCATGTTGATTGTTAAGACCTCGTTTGTATCTAAACCTTTGGGGAAGAGTGAGTGTGAGTGATTAAGGGTATTTGGGATGGGACTTAGTTTATGATTAAGGTGTCGATCCCTAACACAAGTATTGCTCGGGGTCCTTGAGACCCTTGTGAACTCTGAAGAGCCAGGGATTCCAATGGTACCTTATTCATGAATAAGGTCTTGTCTTAATCTCTTAATCTTTGACTCTCATTAATCCTCCTAGGATTAATACAAATAAAGGTTGATCTTCACCCAAACAATGTCTACTTGTTACATCTTTGTCTTATTTGGCCACATGTTCGCTTTACTGTACTCTTAATCTCATTTATATGTTACAACTTATTTATTGGTCCTCATGTGGCATCACTAATGGTTTCTATACATCTTTGTATGCATGTTCGAATTTGGGCCGCTGAGTTCTTTAGAAGTCAGTCCCAAGTTCTAGCCCAGGGTCCATGTTGTTATAATCTGTCGCTACTGCATTTTGAAGTTTGTTGATCCTGCACTCCCTTTGGCACAATTTTGAGTCCAGTCCCTTTCCTCTCTCACTCTTAAAATAAAAACGAACTTGTTATTTAATCTTTGTATATGTTATGATACTAACACTAATATTGAATGTTCCATTTATGCCTTAATCATTTTTAGGAACCTAGGCAAAACCAAGCTCATAGATAAATAAAAGAGAATTTGAGTTTACTTCCGTATTCATTAGAGTATTTCAAAGCACTTACTAATAATAAAAGGTATCGTTCTTTATTTATCACTAAATCTTTTACAAAGTCTTCTGATATTGAACAGATTTTAAAAGGAAACAGTTCCTCCTTGAAAACAGAACTGAACAAAATGTTTCAAAGCAGTTTTTTTTCAACAAATCAAACCAAACGTTGCCGGTAACTCGCGATTAATAAATCTCAACGAGTTTTAAAAGGACACAACTCTGTTTTGAAAATCAATCTTCCAAAGGTATTCTCATGACATGTCTATTTTTAAATAAACATATCATTTCAAAAGACAAATGTTTGAAACATAAGCACATTTTTACAAGTCCTTTATAGATGTAAACATTCCAGAAGACCCTTTTACAAACTACAAGTATTTTACAAAACCCATGCCCATTTTTTTAAAGTGCATATATAACCTCTTCTTCAAAAAAACAAGTAGGCTTTTAAACAAGATTTAGAATAGACCACAAACCTTAAGTACTAAACGAGATAGACTGTAGACATCCACTTCCCTAAACTTAGTCCAAGTCCTATAGAGCTACCTCATGTAGATTCTAGGGGGTGCCTAACACCTTCTCCTTAGAAGAACAAGAACCCTTACCTAAATCTCACCGGCTAATAGACTAATAGGATAATAATTTAATAAATAAATAGGTGCCCTAGTATACCTTTATATATTAGGTGGCGACTCTCTTTCACCTAAAACAGGGAAAGCACTAGTTGAATCACATTTTGACTTGTATAAAATAGGGTGCAACATACATGGGACTAGGAAAGATCATGAGTTGTGAGAGATTAGGGGACAAATTCTGGCTTTGAATTGCCTACATACCTTGGGCTTAACAAGGATCAGACCTCATGTATTTCTGAATTGATGATTCAGAGAGAATTTCACTTGGAGGAATTTCCCCAATATCGTGTTATGACGATATTACAAGACGGGAAGATTTTGGTACCCAATGACTTTTGAATTGTAGATTGATTGTAAGATTTGAAAGACTTGACTATTTTGGAGATCTACTAGTCGAATTGAGTTGGCGTTTAGATCCTTGACTCGCTTATGAGTTTGTTGTCCCTCATAGCGGTGTAACTTGGTTTGTTGCTTAGAAGAAGTTCCACGTTGTAGTGTTTGGACCAGTAAAGATGATACACACATACCCATATCGTAATGCAAATACGTTAAGATATGATGTAAATATACATGAATAATGATGCTTGGCTGCCGGATAGACGTTATTTGGGATCTTGGGAAGATGGGATGTCTCAATCTAAAGCCTCCGAGCTCTGGAACATTATTTGGGATGCCAGGGATGGCCCTTTGAATCTGACTTGATTGTTAGTCGGGTTGTGTATCATTCCTCAGTTGTCGAGGCATTTGAATCTCCACGTGATGGGAGTATCGCCACGTGATGGGAGTATCTCCGCATGATAGGAGTAGTTGACTTCGTATTTAAAGTTTTCGAATGATGAGAGTATCTCCATGCAATGGGAGTAGTTGAATTTGAATTTAAAATCTCCGCACGATGGGAGTTTCTCCATGTGATGGGAGTAGTTGACTTTGAATTTAAAATCTCCGCACGATGAGAGTATTCCCATGCGATGAGATTATTTTACTTTGAATGTAAAATGCCTATAAGCTGCACAAATAAAATGTTAAAACATTCAAGATAAAGCAGAGAAGTAAATGAGCATGCCCAAGAGATACTCTTGACCGTAGAACTAATTTATGGTCGTCAACCAGTGGAACGTGTAGAGAAATTGAATGGTCCATTCTTCAAATGGCGAAGTTGGCGACAAGGTTTGCAACTATCTACTAGGAATATCTAATGTGGCAGAGTGACAGTGATTTATGTACAAAGTGCTCCAATTGGCGGGGCGACCAATGCAATCTATACAAAGTGCTCCAGTTAGCGAAGCGGATGGTTTGCCATATATAGGGCCTTGATTGGCGAAGTTGACAATTTTCTATATACAAGGCTCTGATCGGTGGGGCCGATAACTTAACATGTACAAGATGCTCCGATTGGCACAACACGCGATTTAATATATACAGGGCGCTTCGATTGCGTCGAAGACTTGACTCCGGAATACCATCAAAGAGTTCGAAGTTAGTCCTTAACTATTTGAGAAAACTGAATTGAATAATAAAGGTGAGATAGGGGCTCATGAAATTTTAGTGGGGCCATTATTGACTCCGGTATGCTCTGGTATCCTTTGGTTCCTGTCAATCCTGTGCTCAAAGAAAATTCATAGTGTGGGAGGCATTGATTTTTGTTGATCATAGACCTGGCCTTGCCCCGGATCTAGTAGGTTATACCACGAAGTTCGGTAGGTGGAAGAGTAGAATTTCTAAAAAGCTATTTTTAAAAATTGTTTATGCTTATGGCAAACATCGTTGTTCTGGATTATGACATGTTAAGAAGTCCTTTCTGACGCGAGTATCATTTCTGGATGGCTCTGTCCTGTTGATGATGATTTCCTAGCTATTCCCCTAATGATGTAGCTTCTTGCCATCGAAATCAAGTCCTAATCTAAACAATGCATTACAAAGGCTTTCCTATGGTTATAACCGAACCTTTTCAGGTTGCCTACGTATTTAAGAGAAATCGGGTCTGAACATAGTTCGGGGATAATAAAATGAGGAGATGAAATGGGATGGAATGAAAAGAAATGACCGATCCTGACTCAAGAAGCCTACGTATCCAAATGGAATCAGGTCAAAACATAGTTCGATTACAATAGATACAAAGTGGTAAATTTTGAAATGATATGGATGAGTCTCACTCGGACTACCTACGTATCCAAATGGAATCAAGCCAAAATATAGTTTTATTATAATGGATGACTGAATCCGATGTGATTTCCTATGTATTCCTACCAAAGGAAATCTAGTCGTGGCGTAGTTCCAAATACATGTAAAATGACATTTGGATTTTCTATTACAAGAGGGGGATCGGACCCTATGTGGGTTGCTTACATATCCCACTATGGGAATTTAGGTCAGGCGTAGTTCTGTTACAACAAAACCCTAATTCTATTGTCTTTAAATGTAGTATCTCTTGACTGCGTCTGAATTGATAGGCTTCGTGCTGACTCTGTCATCCATTTCTACTAGGATTAATTCTTCTCCCGATAATACTCGATGGGCCACATAAGTACCTTTCCAATTTGGCGCGAACTTCCCTTTGGCCTCTTCTTGATGGGGGAATATCTTTTTCAAATCCAGTTGCCCCGGTGTGAACTGCCGAGGTTTCACCTTTCTATTGAATGCGTTAGCCATCCTATTTTAATATAGTTGACCATGGCACACTGTGTTCATTCTATTTTCATCAATGAGCATGAGTTGTTCTTGCCTGACACGTATTAATTCTGTATCATCTATCTTCTTGGATAATTCTCATAGATGGTATCTTGACTTATGTGGGTATCACAACTTCTGTGACATATAATAACATGTATGGTATTTCCCGAGTAGATGTCCTTATGGTAATGTTGTAACCAAGTAAGGCAAATGATAGCTTCTCGTGCAATTGCATGTGATTGTCCACTATGTTCTGCAAGATCCTCTTGATGTTTTTGTTGGCTGCTTCAACTGCTCCATTCAATTGTGGCCTATAGACTGTGGAATTACGGTGGAAGATTTTTAACTTCTCACAAATATCCCTCATGACATCGCTATTGAGATTGGTTGCATTGTCAATTATGATCGACTCTGGAATCCCGAATCTGCAGACTATGATGTTACGGACGAAATCAGCCACACATTCTTTGTGACAGCCTTGTATGTGGAAGCCTCGACCCATTTGGTGAAGTAATCGATAGCTACCAAGGTGAAGCGATACTCATTCGATGTAGCGGGTTCTATAGGTTCAATCATATCCATACCCCAAGCGGCAAACGGTCAAGGAGAACCCATTACGTTTAACTCATTCGGCAGAACGCAGGTGAAATCCTTGTGAATCTGACACTGGTGACACTTCTGCACATAGCGAATGCTATCACTTTCCATGGTCATCAAAAAGTATCCGGCGCTCAATATCTTCTTGGCTAAGGTGAAACCGTTCATGTGAGGCCCACACATTCCTGTATGTATTTCTTCTAATAACCTAGTTGCTTCAGCAGTATCTACACAGCTTAACAGATCCAAATCCGGGGTCCTCCTATATAGTACATCCCCGTTAAGGAAAAAGTGATTGGATAGTCTTCTTAATGCTCACTTCTAACCATTAGTGGCACTTTTTGGGTATTTTCTTATTTCAAGGAACCTTTTGATGTTATGGTATCAAGGCTTACCATCTAGCTCTTTATCCACATGGAAACAATATGCATGTTGATCTTGAATCTCTATCTCAAAATGGTTGATGTAATTCTTGTCCTAGTGCAGAATCATGGATTACAAGGTTGTGAGAGCATCGAAAAACTCATTCTAGATTATGGGAACATATTTGTACTCGATCTTGGTGAACTGCTTACACAAATCTTTCATGCAATGTAAGTATTGAATGATCTTGACATTATTAATGGTCCATTCACCCTGAACTTGGTGTATCAGCAAATCAGAGTCTCCTATGACCAAAAGTTCCTTGAAGTTCATGTCGACTTCCATTCTAATCCCGAGAATGCATGCCTCATACTCAGACATATTATTTGTGCAAGGGAACCTTATCTTAGCTGAAGTCGGATAATGTTGTAACGACTCAGAAACTAGGGCTGCCCCAATTCCTACTCCCTTGATATTTGCCGCTCAACCGAAAAACACTCTCCACCCTGGATATGACTCTGAAATGTCCTCCCCAGCAAACACACTTCTTCATCTTGGAAATATGTGATAAGTGGCTCGTAATCCTTGTCCACCGAGTTTTCTGCAAGATGATCGTCCACTGCCTGTCCTTTGATGGCTTTCTGCATCATGTACACGATATCGAACTCACTAAGAAGAATCTTCCATTTAGCTAATTTTCCCGTAGGCATCG